GAAACAATTATTCTTTGAGCATGAATGTACTGTCGACTTTATTTGCATGGAATAGTCAAGCAAGAGTGCAAAGCAATATTAATGGTTTTTTTTTTCCTTAAGGAGGGAAATGTTTTACTTTGGAGTTCTCTGCTTCTGAAAACTCATTCATTTAGTCTTGTCACAACAGTTTTTGGGGTCTGCCACACAAACATAAGGTATACCTGGAGATCTGAAAATTCTACATTACACCAATTCTGTTCTAAATAACAGAAGGAAAAATTAACCTACACAATATCTATAAAAATATACCAGAAAATTAAATTAGAAAATTCACTCTTTGTTGCTAGGTATTTAGAATTTTAAGCCTAGTATTTACTGCAGTAATTCATTCAGGGCTACTATAATCCATTGTGCTGGCCTACACTGGACTTCTTAGTGCCAAATATTGCCTTCTAGCCCTTCGTGGTTCCTTCATGGCCATTAAAATCTATTGTCTCCATGATTATTTGAACTCCAGGGAACAAGATAATGCTGTGGAACTATAATTACATTGCTTTAGCAAAATATCTGTAATTGGCTTGTCAAAGATACTAAAACTGTATTTGTAGCTAATGGCTTGTTCAGTTCCAAAAAACCCTGATTTTTTTCTATTGTCAAAAGCAACAACATCAGAAAACATTTTCTCCTAGCGTTTATTTTATGGCATATTCACATGCTAGTGGCCTACAGGAGATGTCTATGCTGAAGACCTTGTGAATTCAAGTTGTTCCTCATTCAACAGCTAAAAATTACCTGCGCTATGAAAGAGTCAGTAGAATAAATGGCAGAAGGTGAGAAGCTGCCAATGTAAGGCACCACAGGACCTTATTTTATATGTTCCCTATGTGTAAGTATCAGCCATGAGGGTGCATATAACTGCTGAAACCAGACTAGAAATCAAAGGCTAAGGAGCATGTTTTAAGGAGGACGCATCTGAAGGATTTAACTTCAGCAAACTGAGCATCAAAAATAGGTGCCTATGTAGTAATAGCTTAGGCTGCTGCCAGGCATAAAAAGAGCAACCCAAGCTTCAGAAAAATCAGGTTATAGTGGAGGAGGGGCAAGGCAATCTGGAAGTGCTGGACAAAATTGCTTTTGGTCCCACTTGAGGGAGTTTGGCTGCCATCTGTTATGTGCACCAGGCTGAAGCCTGGTTATATTCCCACTAATTTGCAAAAGCAAATCAGCTGACAAAAGCTCAAGCAGCCTTTTTGTTTGTTGAACTGGTGGCTCTGAACTTCCTTTCTTGTCAGTCGCATCCTTGGGATTCCTGCCCACATCTGCCCTTCCCTCTGGGCAAGTGCTTCATCTTGGTCTCAAACACATGAAATAGGTGCTTTGTTGCAGGTGCCCTACACCAATGCTTTCTGAGCTCTGCTGCCTGCCCATGGGGTTCTGGGTACATTAGGTCCCATAATGAACAGAAATAATTCCATATCTATATGGTCAGTTTTGCAGCTCATGTGGTTAACTTAAGCCTGTGTTTGCTTTAAGGCTGTGCTCATTATAAGATTTTTTTGCTGTCCCTTTCTATTAAAGCCTAAGCACTTGCTTTTTAAAATTCAGTGCTAATTCTGCAGACTTGGTCCTCTTCTGTGTCAGCAAACATAGTGCTGTTCTTCAGCCTCAGCCTATGGAAGGGCTTAAAATGCTAGAGTCAAGGATACAAAAAGAAAGGGAAGAAAGTCTGTCAGCAATCACTTCTGAGCAGGGAAACGGTATTGACGTAACACTGCACTAACCATTACTCTTCTCCCTACAGTTTTCCTTATAAGTCAAGGAAAAAAATGTCTAATCCAGTAAATTTCAGAAAAAATATCTTTATTTTGAATGTGCTCTTACTGAAGAGGGACCTTGTGCAGCTAGAGAATTGCCTTTTTAACATATCCTGGTGAAGGGAAAGGAAGGACAAATCTGTAGTGTGACTGTCTTTTGTTAAATACTTGAAAGGAAAATGCCTGTGTAGTAGTATGAAATGTGATCTCACAGCAGTGCTGTAAATTGTATATTGATTTTAGTTTCAGAGCAGTTGTTAATCTCATTCGGAGTGAGCAGCTTTGATCTACTTGCAGACCTGGTCTTGAATTTGGGAAGTTTTGCTTCTATTCTGAATTCTACCTCTGGATTGTGGAATAATTTTGGAAAGGGTACTTCTGTGTCTCTTGCAAAACAAAACTCTCATGCACTCTTCATCCAAATACTGCAATTTCAAAGCCTTTCTCCTTCAGTCTGCTGTGAATATGGCATGAGTCAAACTCTGTTCTACCTACCACAGTAGTGTCTTCACGCTGGTGGTGGGATCTGCTTTGCTTGGTGTCTGAGCAGACTTTCCATGAAACAGTTTCAACTGTTTTGACACAAGAGACAGGCTGCAGAGCTCATGTCAGTGATATTTTCCAGGTCTTTCATTCCTTCCATGATAATTAGAGATAAAAGAAGCTTGATAGGTTAATGTGCTACATCTTGTTTAGTTGGTTTTCCTAATGATGAGCTTATATTCCTATTTTTATACTAAAGACAGTTTTCCTGTGTTTCATTTTTTTCTGTTACGTAAAGCAGAAGTTCAGCATCTATTACAATTATTTTCCAAGGGATATAATTTCTGCTTTCTTTAGCTGGGGAAGAGTTTGTTTTTTGCTTCCTTCCCAAGTTTCCAACTATAATTAGAAGTTAGGGTTTCAGTTCTTTTTCATATACCGCTGCAGGAGGCTTAGGAAACTATAACTGATACTTAGAGGCCCTGACTGAATAGGTGGCTAAGTAGCTAGTTATTTGCACCTTTTCTTTGCATGTCAGCATGTGGAAATAGGTGGTCATGAAATATTGCAGAAGAATATTACTGGCAAAGCATTCTTGCCAGCATGAGTTACTTTTCTTACATGGATAGTAACAGAATCCATGGAAAGAAAGTTCTCTCTATTACAATGCGCACAAAGAAGTGAAAATTTATTTACCTGGACGGAACAGGTTGTACTGAGGCGCTCTGGCCCCTCCACCTGCTTGCACGTGCCCAAAACACAATAAGAAACCAAATGTCAAATTAAAAATGTTAGAAGCAGAGAAGTTAGGAGCCAGCTCCCTGGCAACTGGTAAAACGCTGGCTGCGGTTGTGAATCCTGCACCACAGCCCTTGCTTTGTCAGCTGTTGTCTCCACTGCTGGCAAGTATTTCAGTAAAGGTAGTTGAGATTCACACTGGCATGCCAGCACGCTTTCTCATCTCTTGGGTTTATGGAAGATCCCACCTCTGGCTAGTCAGGACCGACCCTGAACTGTGAAGCAAGGGTTCCGCGGGGACTCTCAGTCGCTGAGTTAAGACTGTGGGGAAGGGGATGTCACAGCTGGATGCTGGGGCTCTGTTCTCCTCCTGCATTTGCCCAGGGACATGACCAAGGTCTCTGGGCACTGCTGCAAGAGGACAGTATCAAATGGATACAGACACATGTTGTAAAGTGCCTGCTGGTGCTTGTGTGTTGTTATGCAAAATCCTTGGGGAGGGTGGAAAGTTGGGGTAATTTTGCTGTGAAAAGTGAAGGGGTAGTTTTGAAAGCTGTGATCTAAAAATGTTCTGCTTTCCCTATCTTAAAAAGGAATTCAAAATGAAACTGAACACTGAAGATCTGTACTGTCAGACAGGCGTTTTAGTCAGGTTTTGTTGGTATCTGGGGTTTTATTTCTGTTAAAGTGAAATGTGAAGGACATAATATTGACTAGACTATCACAGTTATCATTTGAAATAATTTCAATTTTACACTGAAACTGACAATTTTAAAATTCTGATTTAGCAAGTCAGTTTGAGACTGTCAGTTTTTCACAGTTATAATTAAGTAGATCTAAATTCAGCCTTAATCTGTGGCAATGATTGACAGGGAAATCAGATACATATTCTAGTCAAAGTAGGGAGGAGAAGCTCAAGCTGAGAGGGAGCTGTAAGGTTTACCTCTCAACAAGCCTCCTCTTGTTTACTGGGGTTTTACACCACATAATCTGTGACTCAGTCTCCCATCCACAAAACAGACACAAGAAAGATTTTTCCTTTGTCTCTTGCTTCTTTTGTCTCCTGTAAAGCAGGAGCCTTCTCATCTTGTCTGCATATACAGTATTGGGGACTTTCACCTCAGCTGTATTATCAAAGTGCCATTGCAATATAAAATCATAAAATACACTTTTAAGACGAAAGACTTTTTCACATCTAAAGTGTGGTGGCCATGTGTGTACACAAGGGGGAATTATTTGTGAGAATTTTGAGCAGGGGGGAAATGTGATTAAGAGCCATATTGTTTGTGGGTAAAAAGTTAGAAAAGTATAAGAAGCCTTCTCAAATGTGATTTATAAGTATTCAAACTGGGCTTAAACTAACCTACAGACAATAGAGAAGTGTGAATAAAAACTGCACTATGGAGAGTAGGCAGCAAGGAAAGGAACAGTGTTGGAAAAATGAATAAAATAAGTTATGACTGCAAAGCCCTGTGGGGAATTTGGCAAGCCAGGAAAAAAAAAAAATCAGTCCTTGCGGTTTCCATTCTTTTTTCCCATTTAGCTTTGACAGAGGAAGGCATAATATATTAATATATAACTCTATCTCAAGTCTTGTTGATTTTTTTTCATATCACTGCTTTCATTTTAATAGGAAAGTAAAATATCCTTAGCATGTCCACTGGGCTAAGTAGTCAGAAATCTGGGCCATTATCTGACTTTGGCAGCTGAGAAGGGGCTGTGGAGAACAGAAAATTTGCACCAACTTCAATGGGGAATGACAGGAAAGAAAATCAGACGGGCAGGTCAGATAGATGAGCAGCAGTTTGTATTTAGCCCAGGAAGACAACAGGGTCACTAAAAAACTGCACTCTGTGTGGTCTTCCCTGAGGCTCCATGTTCCAGAATTAGTTTATTAAAAGCAAGGTTGCCATGATTAATTGTACAACCAGTATAACTTCTTTGCTATGCTGGATAATTACTGTTTTATGCTTCTGTTTGTAGTGGATGCAGAGGCAAGTGTTGCACGGGATAATGTGGCCGTTTCTTCCCCGAAGACAATGGAGGAGCAGAGCCCTGTTCCCAACGCGGGCGGGCAGAGTCTCGGGAGCGCTGCCAGGAGAGCTCTGCCATCTGCTAAATCCCGCTCTGTCTTCGCGTTTTCATGGTCTGTACCAGGGCGTACTGAAGATCCAGCTACAGATTCATCAGTTGGATCGGCAAAACTTGATGTCAGCTCAGAAGCGCCCGGAGTGAACAAAGCACCAAGTGACAGCGCGGAGGTTCCCGCAGCAGCTGCGCGGGAGGAAGGCACACATAAAAACCTGACCCAGGCCCCACTGGCAGCATCGCTTCATGACATCGATCTTGCAGCATCGGTGACACCTGAGGGAGAGGATGCGGCTGCCTCAAAGCCAAAACAAGTAACCTTCTTTGACAGGATCTTCAAACTGGAGAAGGGAAAGGAAAGGAGTAAAACGCAAATTGACACCCAGGAGAAAAGGCAGACTTCAGACCTTCCTGACAGGTGCATCACAGCGAAAGAGGCTGCTGGATTACAGAGTGCATCAAGCAGTGTCCCACAGGGGAAGGCAAGTGCTTGAGTAGGAATATCTGTTTCACTCTTAATGAAACCTCTTAGGAATATTAATTGTGCAGGGCAACTTGATGTCATGATGGCTGTGCGAATGAATCGGTGTTGCTCTTACAATTATTGTGGGTAAACCCCATAGGGGTGGCTGAATAGAGGTATGGGAGAAGAACCTATGGCGGAGTGGTAATAGCTCTGATCTTTGCCTCATGACTAAATGCTGGCATCTGACCTTGACTTTAAATCTGTTTGTAATTCTCTGAAAGTTTTGGGCAAGATAGCTGTGTTCATGCTCCAATTGCCAGGATGATGAACAGCAGCCAACTACAAATGAAAGCAAAAATACCTGAAAGTAGAATTGTTTCTTATGCTTTAAGAACTTAGTTTGACACTGGATGGTTTTGAAGAAGTTCTTTAGCATGTTTTGTGCCATTCTTAAAATAGTCACTCTTGAGCAATAGCTGCTTGTTGCATACTCCGTATACCAGAACAAGGAATATTATGCAGTAGCAATTTTTGCATTCTTAGTTATTGTGATTTTTTTTTTGTCAAGGAAATCTGGTCCCTTGGAATCGATTTTACAGGATGAGAATGCAATATAAGAAATCAAGTAACTTATCTGAGAGAGCACGCTAATCAAAGAAAGGAGCTGAAAACAGACATGAGTTTAGATTTTATACTTCCTGAAAAGTTTGATATTGGCAAATATACTGTAGGATTAATTTTCAGGTAATTAGCTACTGAAAAAGACCATCCCTTGGATGGGGTAAGTGGCATAATTTATTAGTTCTGCTGAACAGGTGCCAGTATATGCTAATTGGTGATCCAGCGCAAATCCTGTCCAATGTCAGGAACAGGAGGGAGAAACTAGCTGCATGACCCCCTCATCAGAATCTATGTATAAATGCCATTTTAATAGTAACTGCTTTTATTGGCCTTGTTCAGGTTTACAAGTAAGACTGCTGTGTGATCACTAATGCTTTGAATAGTGTTGAACCTAGGGCACAAGATGCTTACTGCTTGCACTGATGACATTGCAGGTTGTTCTCAAAAGTCTCTTCAATTTCTATTCTTCTACCATGTCTTCTCTATCTTATCTCCAAATCTGAGGAGGCATGACATTTCTTGTATAAACTTATAAATTGTAATATCTTTCTGAAGATTCATTTGTAAGACTAAACAGTTGTGGGTTTTGACCATTGCCCTTCAAAAGTGGCACCCATCGCTAGTATTTCAGACAGCTGTATATGCACATTTAAAGAATTCATAGTCTCAACCTAGCAGAAGGTCAAGTCATTCACTACATAATTAGAACAGGTGAATAATTCAGAATGAATAATCTATTCAGTGCATACTGGCACTTCCGTTAGTAGCTGAAGTGGAAGCTTTTCAACACTGTAAATTCCTGCAGATATTTTTGACTAATACACACAAAGAATAAGTTTTGCCTGTGGCTCACAAGAATTGTTACTTTTATAATCAAATGCAAAATTCATAATTCCCTATTTTGCTCTGATGATTGCAAACTACAGGGTGTGAAAGGTCACAATTCATGCTGTTGAATTAGTACAGCGTGAAACTAATGAAATAACAATCTGAAATAGCTTTAACCAGAAGTTAGAATTACACATTTGCTGGTAGCAAACAGTCAAGTGGGAAAGCTCAAGTAAGCAAGTGTTTGTAACAAGCAACCATCAGGGGACAGAACAAGACAGTCTATATCTTATTCTGCCAGTTCAAACAGATACTAGAATACTGCTCATTCAGATCAAGCTTTTTTTATATCAATAATGCCTAGCTTATTAATTTTAAATTCCATCTCAGTCTTCAGCTTATACCTATCCATACCCTGAACCTCACTAATGGCAATAACCTGGAAATCCCAGGCACTCATCAGCTGTAGGTTATGTTTGGGATGTGTGTAAGTGTTTGCAGAATTGTAGCCCACACAACAGGTTTTTGGTGCATGGAGGCTTGCTTGAGGACAGGTCTCCTGTTTAACAAAAGTGCCTGTACATCTTTTACATGTGTGCTTAAAGCTGTACTACTGAAAATCTCTGAGGACTCACAAAATCAGGGTTCAAGTTGCTCACTGTAAATGAGTGGCAGAACTGTATCACAGGGGAGAGTGAAATTTTAACATTATCCTTGAATTTCTGGACTATAATTTTTGTGTTTCATTCTTCAGATATGAAAAGGGGTATATGTTGGGGGCAGACAGGAGTTAAGGGCCTTTTCTGGGAAAAATATACCAACTAAGCACTCCTGATATGTTGCCAAACTTACTTTAACTCCATTTCTAAAACAAAGGCCATGGCTCTGCCTTGCAGCACAGTTGCCTTCTGTTCCTTCTAAAGCTGCTAGTTCTCATGCAGGATGGGAGAATGACCAAGTCTAATTTAATTGCCGTTACTGTAGTAAGTACAAAACTGTTACCAAAAAATCATACTAAAGATCCAGATATTGCTGCCAACAGTTTTTTCTTTTTTGGTGGATTATGACTTGTAGTATCTGTAAAAGCTAAAAGCAAAGCAAAGTTTCCCTGATTTGAGTGCCAACATAAACAGCATTGCTGGTAAGTAAGAGAGAGGCTCCACAGTTGTAGCTTAAGAGCTGCACAAACATTCTGTGTTTGGTGAACCACTCTTTATTTTTGTGGTCTACAAAACTACATTCAGAACACAGCATAATTAAAACAAGGACAGAATTCATGAATTCATGAAGCATTTACTATGTAAGCCAAAGAAAAGATAAATTATATGCCTGAAATGTTTCACTGAGCCATGATTCATACAAACAAAAGTGCTGGCAGGAATACATTCTTTTGATATGTTTTTCTAATGACTGAACTGAAACTACAGTATAAGTATTTAAGGTGTTTATTACCCCCAAAATCTGTCTCCTCAAAGAATTGAATTTAACATTTACATAGTATCTGTTAACTTCTAATACTGACTTCTGTTATTTCTAGAGTTTTCTTCTATTATTTGCCTCCGGGGCTTTGTGCAGCATATTATGCAGTGAGCTGCTACAGAGGTTTTTGTGGTTATTTGACTATGACTCTGAAAATGTGATATTGTAGGACTCCACATTATCTCTCCCTGATTTATATGCTGATGGTCTGAGTCTGTGCTTCTTCCTACAGCAGTATTCCCATGGAAGTGCAAGATGGATCACAGCATCTATTGAAGTCTGTATTTGAGCTGTATCTCAGTAGCTAATGGCAGCCTTGGCTTGGGAATCCAGCAGTAGGGCTCCTTGTGCAGCAGTGCTTCGTTACAGGGCCCGTTTGTGCTCTGCAATTTGGAACTCGGGGATTTTGGGATGGTGTCATGCCCCAGACTCTGCACGGTTTGCAATAGCTTACACTTCTGCAGGGCAAAGTGTGGCTTTAGCAGGGAGATACCCTGGAGCGGCTGCGTACCTGTCACCTCTGCGGTTGTCCCAGCTGGTATCTGCTGCTGCTACCAGGTGTTCTCTACAGCGCTTAGCAAAAAGATCCCTTCTTCCTAAACAGTATGGCCCAACACCAGAGCTTGGGTTTGTCTGTGTGAAAAATAGTTTGCTTATTTTTGTTCAGCATCAACCACTTCAGTTATGAAGCTAGTTTTGTTTAGCAACATATCTTCTGCCTCCTGCTGCTTTGGTCTCTTGCCTCACGTGTTTGTTGCTCCTTTAATATTTGAAATAAAGCCAGTATTTTTCATATGACCAGAGCTCTTTAGGTGGCATCCCTGGAAGCAGGGCTGATGAAACTGGTGTGGCCACGCATATTCTGCATGGGACTTATTGTTCTTGGAGCCACTCTGGCCCTTAACTGGCAGCTGGACAGAGTGGTGTGTTAGACCCTTGTAAGAAACTTCTAAATAGCCTGTTGAAGCACTCTGAACTACTGTGCTGTGTTTCTTCCTGGGTAAACTTGGAAAACAGTGGGTGGAGAACTAGACAGAAGTCTGTTCTTGCAAGTGAAACCTTGCATGTTTTAACTCCTTAAATGCTGGATGGAGACTGGCCACTCCATGCTTATCTTTTCCGATGCCAAATTAACCCTCAGAAGGTTTAAAACACTTATGCATCTTTAGTCTACTCCTTCCATTAGTGACCTACAGAAATGTATATCCTCTGCAAATCCTGTATAACTATTGTGGGTTTTTTAATCACCCTGTACAGGGAAAGGTTTTCAAGAGAACAATTTAACTTTTCCTAGTAAAAATGGCACAGAACAACTATGTTTAATTGGCAGGTTAGGAAAAAACCTTGGTGTCATTTAGACTTCCAGGCAGTCTTTGAGAGTAGTGATTCAAAGATACTGTTTACTGGAGACACCCGGACAGGCTCATCAGTTTTATTTCTTGTCCTGATTTTTCCTCTGTAGTAATCTGGGCATCTAGTATCCTAACAACTGCCTCTCTAGTCAAAATCCTAAGAGACTGGATGCGTGCTGCTGTCTAAATAGTTGGACAGATAACTTCTGCTGAAGAATTATGCTGCTGCTATGATTGTCCATTCAATAACATCTCAAGTCCAGTACCAAAAAGTGAGGCCACCATTGTGCTAGGCACAATTTACTTTAATAATAATTGACAGATCCAGCCCTGCACTTACAATGTAGACAGACAAAAGGGAGGAGCATTATTGCTAACACTCAGACATTACTAGCCAGATGTAGTACTCTTAAATATCAAAAAAGGAAATGCCCTCTCCTGCACAATGTTTGTGTTGGCTTTACTTGTGCAGACTCAAGGCAAGAGGGGCCAGAATGGCAGGCAAATTCAGTGTAAAAGGGTGCCAAGCTCTCCAAAACTGGTCCAAGAAGAGGTTTTTTTAAAAAACAGACCCTTGTTTAGGTGTCTAAACAGAAACTGAGTAACTTAATATTATATACTTGTGAGTGCTTGAGCACTGGGAAGCTATTTTTGGGCTCTGGGAACTGTAATTCCAGGAAGAGAGGAGGCAGTTCCATCTACCTCAGAACTACTTTGGGTTGTTGCTTTTTTCCTCCTTTTTAATCTGTACCATGTTTGTATCTGCTAGATAAAAATTATTTCTGGAATTGTAGAATACAGAGTATCGGAAGTAATCTTTGTATGGTACAATCAGACGCTGAGCCATCAAAGACCAAAAATCTCAGTGTTTGTTCCTATTCACAAGTTCAGCCTTGAAAAGAGAAAAGCGGTGTTGTTTGGGATGCTGTGTGCAACTTTACTTGTGTTTGTTATACTTGGTAACTGAGAACAATGTTCCTCCAACCAACAGCAAATGCTGAATATATTAGAAAAAAGGGGAAAGAGATGTATAAATGCTCAATTGTTCTGAATACGTAGGCTGAAGAAGTATGGTTGGAATTAGGGTTGTGACTCTCAGAGCAACATAATGCAAGCCACAAATGTTACTTTTGCATTCCACTGGAAATTAAGCACGCTAGGACTGAGGAAACTCTACCCCCTTTTTTTTTTTTAGGAGATAGATGACTGCAACCAAAAAGACCTACAGCAGGACTCGGCAGGTGTCAACGGTATCACTGCTGAGCAACCTGAAAAGGCAGAGGTAAAACAAGACAACCCCCAACCAGCTGCTGCAGGAGATAACTCCGTCATGAGTTTCCTTAAGACACTGGTAAGCTTTTGCCTTTCCTTTTCATCTCTAGGCTATGCTTTAAATTGCTTATAAAAATCTCATGTGGACACTTTGAGCTAAATGTAACCTGTTTTCTGTTACGGGCACTGAAGTAATGAAGCCAAAAAGATGCCTTAGAGAATGACTTGAGAGTGATAGAGGGATGTGTAGGTACAGTGCAGTTATCAAATGATGACCTACTCTTGATGAACTTCCTTTTCTGCATAGATATTTGTAGATCTGGAGGTATTTAGCTGTCTTAAGGATTTTCTGCATGATGAAACTTTGTTTTGTAATATCTCTAAAAGTTCATTTGTATGGATTAATTGGATGTATAAGCTTCAATACAGCTTTAGTCCAGATATTTTTCATTTTAGCCATTGACTTGTAAATGTTTCTCCAGAACAATGTAATTATAAACTTTCCCACATGTGGGAAAAAGCAATATTTGTAGTTCTTTTACCTTTGTGCTAGAAAAACTGCTAGTTTCAAAGAAATGATCTTTCAGATCTTTTGAAAGACTGAGTTGAGTATGACTTTTGGTTTTCTCAAATACATTTAAGGTCTCCCCAAGCAAAGCTGAAGCCAAAAGTGATTCTGAAGACAAGGTAGGCAGATTCCTCATTCTGTCACTGGTCACTAGCTGGTTTTGACACAGGTATTTCCTCTTCATTGTGTTGCTTTTGCCCCAAGTGATGTTATTTGAAGTAATTTAAAATATTTTTCTTCTGAATAAATTTGAAAGGAAGATGAGCATAAATAGTGCAACTTTTAACATCATATGTTACAATCAAGAGCTGAACTGTAGCATTTTCTGCAAAGTTGATGACCTGGTAATGCTTTTGATTGTTACTCTGACTTGTCCTTGATCTAAAACTACAGGTCCCTGCAGTGAAATCCTCCTGATTCCACAGAAAATTCCATTTGCTCATAAAACTGTGCAAAGCTTCTGGTTTTTTGCTTCCAGTTGTGTATATGCATGTCTCTTCCCCACCAGGAACGAGGAGAGATAGACACAGGAGATGCCCCTGCCTGTGGCAGCTCTGGCTGGGTGGGCAGGGGGTGTGGGCAGAAGCCAGCTCCCACCCTCCTGCCCTGCAGTGCATCCACAGCTGCTCCGGGGTCCCCCCTTGGGGTGCAGGAGAATGGGTGAGGATCAGCTTCCCACTGAAATAAAGAAAAAGCAGAAGGAGATCCCGAAATGTTCTCTCTGGGACTCTTGTGGTTCAAGCACACCAGTATGGACTGTGCTACAGTCAGGGCTGATGGGCTGCTCCTATGAAACCTCAGGAAGATGATGGAGCTGCTCTGAGCAGGACTGGGACTTGCAGGGAGAGCTGTCCTTCCCTGACCACTCGGGATTCCTCCCTTTATATGCACAGATGAAGATCAAGGGTTTTTAGGCTGGGCAAATTAAACACTCAAGCTGTTCTAAAGCAAGGCAGCAGGCTGATGCAAGTATGTGTCATGTTCCCACTGGGAACTGAAATCTGTATTGGCTCGACAGGTACAGAACGAGTCTGAGAAACGTTTCTCCATGTAACAGGCAGATGTGGCCTCTTGCTTTTCTTTATAAACCATTTGTTCTTGGATTCCACTGGTAAGAGGAAACTTGTTTTTAGCATCCATGAGCAGTGATGGTCTTTCACATGTGAATTCAGAAAAGCTTCATTGTTATAGCTTTCATTTGCTATCAGATACTGAAAATATCAGATTGATCCAATGTATTTAACTTGTAAAAAAGTGGAGAAACCTAAACTGTAAAAACTTTAAGTTGAAAACATAATCTTCTGAAATGGAAAAATGTAGGTGTTTAAACACTTTTCCTTTTTTTCCTGTTAGTGGCAAAACTTTTACAGTAGTTTCAACAGAAGCAGAAGTGAGACAATTTGCATTAAGCTGCCTTGTATCTTCTAGTGTTTCAGTGGTTTACAGGCATATCACTGACTGCATAACTGAACTCCCACATTAAATGTTGTTACACATTCTTATGACTAAAGTTTTTCTTGCTATGCCTGTGGTAAAATTTAATTAAACACATAAAGAATAAAACCCTAAAAAAAGCAAACAGTCTTTCCATGCAACTATTGGGTAGCCAAAATCACTATAGGCATCAACATTTTTGTTTTCTATCTTATTTTATCCTTTTTGTCCTGTTCAATTTTTTTATATAGCCTGATACTAAAACAGTGAAGTCAGCCTTTCCAGAAAGCTTTGTGAATACATGCAGAATACACATCCCTCCCTGATTCTAGCTCAGTAATTCTGGAAATCATCAACCAGGGCTAAGGTCTTCCAAGATATCCAGGAAAGGCAGTTATCAAGGTGCACTCTTTCACTGAGACTTGCAACTCTTTCGGTAACAACTGAAAAATCCAGTTGTTCAGTCCCATTTGCGTACCTGACTTTATCAAGCGCACCCATGTGCTTCTATAATAGGTGACTGTTGGTGCGGATGTACTGTAATTTGGAAACAAATATGCTGTTTGGGTTTGGTTTGCTATCACACCTGTGAGGGTAAACAAATCCAGATGACTAGCAGGATATGCAAACTCATTATACAGAGGCTAAATGGGAGCTGGTTTTTTTTAGGAAGAATTCCTTTATCTTCACTATCTTTCTGATACAAGGAATAACATTTTCATTATGTTAAAGGAAAAATATGTTAAAAAGGTTAATTTATCAACCATCATATAGAAAAGCTGCAGATTTTTCAGCTGATACATATAATGAAATAATGGTAATTTTCTCCCTGAGAAATAACTTCTGCCTTAATGGTAAAGATGTGCTTTTAAGCGAGGCTTTCTTCTTTGTGCAGTCTGAACCTCCCTGAGTACTTCTGCAGGGCTTTTGCATGGTTTGGCTGGCACAGGGACCACTGTGCCTTTGAGTCCTGGTCATGCTTTCATTTCGGCTGCTCATGCACCCTCTTTGCAGGGAGGAACTGGGTTTTATCACACAAGGGCTGGTACATTCCCAGTGTGTCTCAGCAGTGTTCTCCCCTGGCTAAGAGGACAGACAAGCTTTCTCACAAATCTGAGAAACAGCCACAGCCCACTTCAGCTCTGTGAAGCACGGCAGTATACTCCCTCCTGCTGAAACGCAGAGGTGCGTGGCATCAGCGAAGCTGAACTTGGTGGTTTTTGTAGCAACATGCAGTCATCAGGGATGCCTCTGGCTTTCATCAGCTGGCTAAAGACATACATTTCAGCAGCCTGGGCACACCCTTAATGATTGTCATTTCATCTGTGTAAACACAGGAGTTTCATATGAGTTGAGTCACACTTCCTTGGATTAATTGATCCTTTGCAAGTTTATACTAATATGGCATTCAGATCAGATCTTCCCCAGACCACCTATTTGACCCTTCTGTAGCAGATCCTGACTTGTTCCTGCACCACTGTATGTTTGGGAATACTGAGAATTGTACAGAGTACTGCAGGGGAAAATGGCCAATTTTGATGCGACTGGCCACCACCTCTTCATAGGACAAAGCACTTTGTAGGAAGCACGTATGCACTGAACAAAACAGTCTTCAGACCAAGATCTCAACCTCACATGCTCACACATGTTACATTCTGTACTATGGACCTTTCCTCCTACTCTATTAGTTGTGGTCAAACACAGTGCTTGATAATTCACACTGTAAATACTGTAGGCTGATTGTTTCTTTGGAGTTTGGGTCTTTTCATGCTTCCAAAGTTCCTGGAGATTTTTGTCAACTCATTTTAAGCTTTTATTTTTACCTTTTCAAGTGTAAAAGAAAACAGAATGAAGCTTGCAATAGGGCAAGCTAATTACCTAGAGGGTGAACGCTTGAGTCATTTGTGATTGAAATATAATCTTTTTAATTTATATTTCTTCATTATATATTGGCCTGATCCTTAATTAAATCAGGAAATAAATTACTTAAGGGAGATCAGAATGAAGTCCAGGATAGTAGCAAGTAGTAAGTAAAAACCACTACATCCTCCTTTGTACGAGGTAATCAAAGGCATCTTACTACTTTAAAACCTGACACTGTGAGACGATGAAGAATGCTGTCCCATATTATCTGTGATTGGCCATATGTTTTGCACATATGTACAGTGCCATTACTGCAGAACAGACTCTTGTGTTAGCTTGTTTGTATGCTGAAGCTCACTTCTGGTTTTCTGTTTCCCCTCCTTTTTTTTATTACTAGAAAGATGAAAATGGTGGGGAAGCCCTATCGTTCATATGATGAAAACTTAAGCTTTTTTCCTGCACTGGTAAATCCAGAGGATTGTATTAGGGGGTGGGAGGCAGACAGCAACAGTGTCTTGAAGAGTGAAGTTTTGAGGAAGGCAGTTGAATTATAATTAACAGAAATATTTTTTTCCAAGTTAAATGGAACATTTTAGCAAGTCTTAAGTTTTTCTAAGACTTGTCAAAGTCTGGTATTTGAACAGGCCCATGTCTACCCTATGCAGGGTAATTTAGTTTGCATTGAGCTGCTGGTAGTCTGCTACCACTTTTTAAAAAAATTTTTAAAAAACTTTTTAAAAATAGCCTGATACTGATTTTTTTCCCATATAGACATCTATCAATTTTTTATCTTATAGCCCTTTGTAGTGGACTTTTCAATGTACTGCTTGCTTTTTTTTTTAGAGATCTAGTCTCTACTATCAGTAGGTGATGATTCCCAAAACAATTGCCTCCTGCAAATATTTAGAATGGAATGAAAAGGAAGCAGTGCTCACTCAACGCTTTTAGTATCAGTCTGTTTTTCTGATACTTTCTAAACTAACTTCAAGACTGTTAGTGCAAACTTGAAATATTTTGTAGCATATATCATGAATATTCATACTGCCCTTTTCTTAAATAATGCATTATGCAAAACATTTTAAATTTCCTATAATACTGCAATAAAAAGAATGAAGGTATCCTCAAAGATTTATGTATCTCCCTATTTCAAAACTATAAATCTCAAATTCAGTTTGTTACTCATGAATTTAAAATGCAGAAGTCTCAGTCTTTGTGGGATTTGTCTCAGTTTAAACAAGAATTTAGGGGGCAAATTGTGGTTTAATTTTGAGTTAACTGGATTGCCCTAGCTTTTATATTTATTTCACTACTCATATGAAAGAAAGTCTAAGGAGAACTGAGCAATCACTCAGAAGAAAATATAATTTGTTGTACAGGGCAAAAAGGAAATGTTTGTTTTTAATGATGTGTAAGTGTTTGAATGTCTTTCATGAACTAAATAAGAACATTGCAATAAGTTCTCAACTTCAAATGCTGTTGTACAAAAGGGATCGAAAGCGGAAAAAGGCCATGGTGGGCAACCTGCTCCGAAGATAGCGGCAGAATCACAAACTAAAGGAGCCAAGAAAAAGAAGGCAGAGAGTCCCAAGCTAGGACACAGTACATTTAGTAAACTCTTTAGGCATAAGGTCTGTATGAAACTCTAGCAAGAGCAGAACCCTGAGCAGTAACAGATGGCACCTGTCACAGAGTGAAGTTATTTAATTGGTAACTGAAATCAGCATCTGGCCAGCTGTGCAGTGCTCTGAAAACTACTGGCGTGAGCATTTTGGTGCCACGCATCATGAAAACAATCTTCAGTGCAATGTTTCTCTTGTTATACCATCTGTGAATTCAGGATTCTGAAACAATTCCTCTAACCTTCCCTGCTATGTGCTTCCCAGTTACACTTACTAATGCTGACTAAAGTGCCCTGGTCTCTTAAGATAAAATAAAAGGTACTGACAAACAATGAATTATGCAGATATGAACAGCACCTGCAATTGTAGGACCAGTTTAAGAGCTCAGTCCAGCTATAATTAAGGCTTTATAATCCACATTGCTTTAACGTGCACTGTCTTGTGGTTAAATTGGTGATTTGGTGAACTGTGGCATCTGATATGGCACAGAGAAGACTGGAACATGGAATTTCCTTCAGAAATAGTTACTTTTCACTGAAAACAAGAAAAGTAATTGATTGAATTCTATGTATAGTTTGGAGGAAAAAAAGTCTGGTTTTCAAGGATACTTTAAAGATGCTAAAAATGTCCATTTTTCATGCAAGTGGTTGTTTCAGAGGACAATAGCTTTTATCTTAAAAAAAAAAACACTACTAAAAACTTTCAGTCTCAAGGTCTATATTTGGGCATTTCTGCTTTCTCTGAAGATTATCTGCCATGATGTTCTGTGGCAGGGAAGCAGAGAATTGTAGCTTTTTAGCCCAAAGAATGCAGAAGCAGAGACCCTTCCAGTGGGGGAGGAAAGTGATTAATATTTAATCCTTGCTCAAAACACCCACATGAGATTTCTGGTGAGTAAGGGGCTTTATAAACCAGGGCAGAAGGCAAAGGGAGTTCTTTAAGGTATTTTCGAAATAGAAATGTTCTTTCCATTGTCTCATTTTTGAGACAAAAATATCATCTGCATATTACTGAAGTAATAATAATGTTCCAATGGTTTTAAGTCTACAGTTCTTGCCAACAGCTTAAAGTTAAGTTCTCATCTTGTATATACTACACTGACAGCTAATAGTTTTGATATTTAAGACAACTAAAATATGAATTACTTGTTCGTAATGAATTAGGGCTTCCTGGTAAAAAAAAAAATACCTGGCTAGTATTTTTTTAAGGTGCTAAAACTCTTCTACAACAGTTCAAAACCTTGCAATGAGTTGTTGAGAGACGATTGGTTTTCATTAGGCTATCTGATAGAATCTTAAACTGCTTTCATTCCAGCCCAAAAGTCTTATCTTGAAGGAATGCAACAGCACTGAATTTTTACACCAATAAAATCTGTCTTATAAACATCATTTATTTTTAAATAGTTTTTTCTAAGTTTATTTTCAGCTTTCTTTCCACATACAAAATACAGAAGCAATAACTTGAGGTATCATTTTATGACTTATTAAGAATAAAGGAGATGGATTAAAATGGCACCAACAGGTTGCTTATAAGGCTGATTGAAAGTGGAAATTCAAATCAGAGCACTGATGTGACAGGCAAGCCCTGAAGTTATCACTTCTAGTAAAAAAAAAAAAAAAAGTAGTTATCTCTTTTCATTTGAAATGCCTTAGCATGATGTGTCAACTAGATGAGTAGGTAATGAAATCCTTTATTTGAAATTATCATTTTAATATATGTATTCATATTTAATTTTAGCACTTCACTGTCTCCTCTGAAAGTTCTTTCTCTGCAAGTCTTCCAAAATGCACTTCTTTGTACCTTTGTAAAGAATAGATTGACTATTAGGTTAACAGAAACATTGTTTTTCGGTGTCCTGTGTTTTCATGAATACTAACTTTGAAGCAAATGTTGAATGTTGTTTTCAAACAGCAATGTGCATCCTAAGATAAATCCATAACATAAGTTGATACAATGTGATTTGACCTCAAAGACTGGGTTTGCATGGCATTCAACAGTTGGGTTCCCTGTCTGTTCTTTTATTGCCATCCATGTACGTTTGCCTTGCATTGCAGGCCAATTTTGCCGTATAACTGTACTGCTTTATAGAATTTTTACTTGGAAGTGAAGGGTTAATCACTTACTTTCAGCGTTAGTCCTGAAGCCAGCTTGTGGCATTACACTACTTCTTACCACTTGCTCTGCATCTTGTTCGTTAGAGCTAACCACAAAAAGAAGTTCTTGGCTCCTGCAAAATAGCTCTCACCTATTCTTTCAAGAAATCCGCAAAGCATGTGGCAGGCTGCCTAAACCCAGGGGTGCTGGGCTCACATTTACTTGAGTTTGTGGCTTGCTGCTCCTCTTTTTGTACAGCTCAGATACTTGTCTTCAGTGTAGAGCTATGCTGGATGTTGGGGTCAATAGATACTGGTATATATCACTGGCCAGGAAGGAGTTTAACACACTGGATCCCTCCCAGCTTCATATATTTTGATGAAACCAGGAGACTCACCACTGAGTGATTTTTTTTTTTTATTTTTTTTTTTTTTTATACAAAGAGTAAATGCTACCCAACGCACAAAAGTGTGAGTGGACAGATTAAACCAACCTCCCGCATCTTGCAGAGCTTCTCTTTGCAACTCCTGCTTCTAAGTTACAGAGCCACTGCTGTTCTGTGCCTTTCATTTCCAGGCGGTTGTATGCCTGTGTTTTGTACCCCAGAAAGCAAAGCTTCCCGCTTTGGAGGTGATGTTAGCAAGTCCCTGACTGGTGTGCAATTCCCCCAGTGGAAAAGGCCCAGCTCTGGCTTGTATGTGTGCACTGGAAGTTGCACATGCAGACCCAGCTTGGAAAAATCTCTGCTAATATCTTAAAACCCTGTGTAACGTCTTACCTGAAGAAACTGTGATTGTAATTTTTCATAACAAGCTGAGGACTGCAAGCACAGCAGCATGAGCACAAAGCAATTCAACACAAGGCTGCAATGCTGCTGCAGGTAGAAGGGTGCAAGCTGGCAGTCCCTTCAGGCAGCCTCGCCTGGGCCAGAGATGTTTCCATGGTTGCAGGTGCCAAGACTTTCACAAACATTCACTAAAAATAAAATAATTTGTCACGCAGACAATTCCTGAACTGTGTAACTGTGAGCACTGACATTGCCAGAGACAGACTTGTCTTTGTGTTTTGTTTCCCTTCAGGCTGCAAAAGAGACCCAACAGACAACTAATACCAAAGTGAGTAGGATGATTCAAGTTATCTGTATGAATAATGCAGTCAAAGGGTAATTGTTCCTGGTGTCGTTTTTAGTCTCTAAGTGTTTTAATTTCTTTATCAATTAATCATCTCTGTTACGAAGGGTGGGTTGCTATGTAATCTGCTTCCTCTGTTCAAGACATTACTACATTTGAAACGACAGGGATGTAGCTCATAAGCTGCACTTTGTTGCCTTGCAAGTCCTGTGCAATGGCAGTCTGCTGTGTGCTTACCTCTTGCACCAGCTGATGCCTGAACGTGCTGTGAGTATCTTGTCCTTCACACATTTCCAATAGCCTATGTGTTCATCTTTCTTTCTAGAGCGCTGAACAGCAGCCTGTTACCTCTGTAAAATCAGACAAAAATGTCCCTTCCTCTCAAGAGCCACAGACAACTAAGCAGAGTACAAAAGCCCCCGAGCCTGCAGCCCCACAGCAGGCAGCAGCCAGCGAAGCCCCCAAAGAGGTGACGAAGGAGAAAGCATCATCCACTCCTATGCCACTGAGCAAGCTCTTCTGGAAAAAGGTACATCTGGATTTCAGAGCTGGTCCACCCCACAGCTCCATCTTCACACAGTGTCTAAAGTTATTGCTAAGCATGGAGTTATAGTAAAGTAGTCAAATCTGCAAAGTTGAGCATATCCCACGTGCTAAATACATGAGAAGCGTAAGCGATATACGCACTTACAAATGCAAACGTGAGCTTTGGGCAGTCACATATGCACATGGCTAATAATGGTAGTTAGACTCCTGTAGAAGAATCTTATAAAACATAGTCTTTTAAACCTGCCTGTAGTATTTTTTTAATGATATTATGGAAAAAGGAATGTTACTCTCTGTCAATTCAGCATATTTGTTAAAAATACCACAGAGATTATAGCATTCGTTACCAAACTGTATCATTAATATACATATAGCTATAAAAAACTATTTTTGAGAACTGTTTGCCTTAGTTGAAAATGTCTGAAAATCTGGAATTGGGTGGGTCTATTCTTACTCAACAGAAAAGGTTTCATACCAGAGTGCATCAGTCTTGAAGTTTGGCAACTGAGGTTGATTGCCTGGGAACACATATTTTTCCTCAGATTAAATAATGATTCTTAACTAAACTTAGGACTAACTTTGAAAACATGGTTCCTGTTTCCATGATCCTTATGGCTTATAAGCTGAAGGTTTATTCTTTTCTTCTTTCATTTAAGAGAAAAGCTGTATTAAACTTTACTGAATCACTGTATGTTGAATAACTGCTTTCCTGGGCTTCTGTTCAAGTTCAAATCCCAGAAATGAACTGCTTCCAAACACACAGATGCTGACTGAGCAGCTAGCCCTGCAGCTTCTTTAGCTCTATTTTCCGTACTGAGCAGTGATACTAAAGACACAGTTTGGGTATGTTACACTAAAAAAAAAAAATGAAGGTGTTTAGATATTTACGGAGTAAACATGCTTGAAAATAACCTAAGCTTGAAACATTTGTTACTTGGGACTTAATTTCCTGTGGAATTGGATGAATCGGGTACTCACAATGAGAGGAAAGTTAGGAAGGAGGGGGAGGTTTTTTATATAGCAGTTATTGCTACAGAAACCTCCTCCTCTGTCTGAGATGGGAAGCAGGATGTACGCTGAACACTAGGATGAAATAAGAAAAAAGGCCTTCTGGCAGATGGTTGTTTGCAGTTTCAGTGTAAAATTGAGAGTAATAAATCTGGTCTGAATTTCAGTAATTTCATAATGAAGTAGCAAGGTCTTTTGCGTTTGAAAAAGAAAAAGTATGTAAGGAGGAGACAGTTTCTTGCAGAAAAATAGTGAAAATCGCTCCTGTGGAGGAGATATTGGTGATGATGGTTAGTTTAAAAAAAAAAATAAAAATTAATTTGATAAGGTCTTGGTAAGATTTCAAAACCTTATTTTGAAAGATTAACTCAAATTAATATAGATATTTTACTGCTCTGTATAATGTAGGTTCTGCCCACAATGAACAGCAGCTCCCCATATCTCATATTATAGCTAAGCTAAACTAGGTCTAGGTACCTACCCTGTTTTCTTTAACCTTATAAGCATCTCCATGTGAAGTCCTGGGATCTCAAACATCTCGGGGGTATAAACCCTGTATCAAAATTGTCTTTCACTTTTGTTTGTTCATAATGCTGGATTTAACTTATCCTACATTATCATCAGCTGCTTATGTCAGTGAATGCAAAGTGTTATAGAAAACCCTCTACAACTCTGAGCAGGTTTTGGTTGCTACCAAAAACATCAAGGGCTAGTTAAATCATTTATGCAAATGCACTGAACTACAATAGCATGTGAAATGTGAAGTTTGTAAAATGAGCTCATTTCTGCTTAGTTAGAAGCTCTTGGGTCTGGAATTGTGCTGAGACCAAATGTTTTTGCAAGTTTTCTGGACTAAACTTCTGCAGTAGAGAACTGAATTTGGTCCTAAGAATTTAGGACAAAAAAAAAAATCTTCCTCCTTGAGCATTGAATCCTTACCTATAAAAGGTTGATGTTGCTTTACTGGATTTTCTTGACAGAGAATAATATATTTCCTTTGATGAAAGACCTTGGTGACCCAGTCAGCTTGAAGCTAAAAAAAATGAGGATAGATGTAAAAAAAAAAAAAAAAAAAAAAACAAAAACCCAAACCTCCTCAGACTATAGGTTAGCCTCAAACACAGCTTGGTTCGAAGATTCTGCCTTTTTTTTTTTT